AAATGGGACTACATGAAACTAAAAAGATTTTACACAGCAAAAGAAACCATTGACAAAACATAAAGACCACCAACTGAATGGAAGAAGATACTCACCAATGATACATCCCATAAGGGATTAATATCCAACATTATAAAAAAACTCATACAACTCATCACCTCCCCCAAAAAATCCAATTAAAAAGTGGGCAAAAGACTCAAATAGACATACACATGGCTAATAGACATATGAAAAGATGCTTAACACCACTAATCATCAGAGAAATACAAATTAAAACCACAATGAGATATCATCTCACACTGTCAAAATGGCTGTCATCAAAAAATCAACAGCCCTGACTGGTATGGCTCAGACGGTTGGGTGTTTATCTGCAAAGCAAAAGGTCACTGGTTCTATTCCTGGTCAGGGCACATGCCTGGGTTGCAAGTTTGGTCCCCAGTCGGGGTGTGTGCTGGCAGCAATCGACTGATGTTTCTCACTCACATTGATATTTGTCTCACTCTTTCTCCTTCCCTTCCACTCTCTCCAAAAATAAATAAATACAATTTAAAAAATTAAACAAGTGTTGAAAACAGTATGGAGTTTCCTCAAGAAAATGAAAATGGAACTGCCTCATGACCTAAATTCTAGGTATATATAAAAAAAATCCCAAAACACTAATTTGAAAAAATATACCCACCCCCATGTACATTGCAGTGGTCAAGATGTGGAAACAACCCAAGTGTCCATTAATAGATGCATGTATAAAAAGCTATGGCACATATATACCATGGAAGAGTACTCAGCGATAAAAAAATGAAATCTTACCTTTGCAATATCATGAATGGACCAAGAGGGTATTATGCTAAATTAGTCAGTCAGAGAAAGGCAAATACCATGTGATTTTACATATATGTAAAATCTAAAGAGCAAAATAAACAAACAAAATAGAAACAGATTCATACATATAGAAAACTGACCGATGGTTTCCAGGGGGAAGGGGATTTTTGAGGATGGGTGAAAACCATAAAGGGATTAACATGTACCATTGATAGTTTCAAAATAGTAACAGGCATGTGGAATACAGTGTAGAAAATATAGTCAATAATACTGTAATAAATATGTATGTTGTCAGTTTGGTACTTGAAATATCAGGGGATCACTGTGTAAAGTATATGATTGTCTGGCCATTATGCTCGTTATCTGAAACTAATATAAAATAGTGTTGAATGTAACTGTGGTTGAAAAATAAAATAAAAGGCACACCTACAGAGGTGAAGTAACAATTAAACATTTAATTTATGCCTAATTTGAATTTATTTAATTAATGATAATGATATCTCTGAATGCTGAGAATATGTGAATTTTTAATTTCTCCTTATGCTGCTTTATCCAATAGCTTCCTCATTTTGTGCATTTAACATGTTAATTTTGTAATTAGACAAAAAACAACAAACACTTGCAAAAACAAATTTAATCATAGATTTTTTTTTTTTTGGTACTATCTACCCTGGGGTTCTAGGGAATGATAAGGTGTGACTTCGGCTGTCATCAAAACTATGTCAATTAAATAAGAATATAGTGATGGTTGATGCTATGTTATACTCAGGATCTAAATAGCCACATAATATGCTTCATTTTTAAAAGCCTTGACTGATAGCAGGCCTTGGATGGAATTGTAGAGGCAGGAAGGAGTCCACAGCTATGGTAGGCCTTCTCTTATTTGCTGTTTCCTTATTTTTCTCAGGGATTTAGCTAGATTGACTTGGTCCCACCTTTATTTATTTATTTATTCATTACCTTGTATCCCTCCTATACTCTCTTTCACCTCTCCCTATCCCCTCCCCTCCACAGTCACCACACTATTGTCCATATGTATGAGTTTGTTTTTTTTTTTTGCTCAATCCCAGACCCCTTAACTTACCCCCACCCCATCTATGCGACAGCATGGATGGACCTGGAGAACATTATGTTAAGTGAAATAAGCCAGTCAGGGAAAGACAAGTACCATATGATTTCACTCACATGTGGACTCTCATGAGCAAACTGAATTAAGAAGCAAAACAGAGACAGATTTATAGATAAAGAGTAGGCTGATGCTCCCTCCCACTATTTTAATAGTAATAGTGTACCCTCTCCCCCTGAATAATGTGAATCAAAGTGTTGGGGGAGGGTGGGCACAACTCCCTCAATTACTTTCATCTTATTTGTGAAGACAAAACTGCACTTTCTTAAAAAGGAACTTTCATCAGGAAATAAAAAGGAAAAACAAAAACCCGACATTTTGCAGCAGAGGTGCTTTAAAGCATAGACTTCTATCTTAATCCTGAAATCAGATCTTGGCATATTTTAGACCCATACAAATTGTGCATTGTTGGTGAGAGCTGAAGGAAATGTTAGGATTCTGGCAATTCTTGACTATTCTGTTTTGTTACTGTGTTTTTTGCCCTCTTAGGAATTTATGTTTTCCCAAAAGAAAACATAATTAAAGAGCTCCAGTATCTTCTATTAATGGACAAGTGAGTAACATGACAATACAGTACTCTATGCTAAGATCTTCAAAGAATCTGGCAAGGAATCTAGTAGAAAACAGCAATTTTTTAATTAGTGAAGTATATTAGAACAAATTTTTAATCCATACTTGTGTGATAGTAATATTTAACTCCTCTGTTTGAAACATTAAATAAAATGATTATACAAACTCTTGCTGAGTTTCCTCTAACTAAATTCCAATCAAAGTGGCCTGACAACAACGGTGTCTGAGGGGCATTGTCTACGATTTCTTTTCCTGTCCTTGATTGTGGCAATGCTCGTACTCATTTTGTCCAAGTATAATGAGGCCACTATCATCCTTCAATCCTCCTCCTCATTTTTCTCATCCTCTTCATCGTCTTCCTTTCATAGCTAGGTCCCTGGAATCCCTCTGGTTCTGGAGATATTACACGTCTCCTTCGTAAACCTGAGGTCCTCAAACCCTACCTACCTTTTATGGACTTTTAGTAGGGCCTTCTTCTGAGGGGGTCTATGACTTTGGAATTCTGGAAAATTAGCCTTTACTCTAAAATCATTTGTGGGTTTTGTGGAGTTCATCTGAAGCGTGCCCTTGACTTAGATTTGAGTTGCCTGATAAAACTCAGCTTTAAGTGATGCCCTAGGCAAGATCTTGTCAGAGACCCTGGGAAGTGAATGACAGATACCACCTTCCCTGGTGCCTGTATCAGTCTTAACAGTGCCCTACTCTGGTTAGGACCTTTCATGTCTCTTGCTTTAAGAATTTATTTTTCCTTTAAAGATGTTGCAATCTATGTGAGGATGTCTTCCAGTCCCAATTAATCTGCAAATAAGGGAAGGATAACATAGTCTGAGTCCTGTGAACAACCAAGTATTTCTAGTTCAGGTTATTCTCTCTTGTAACAAAGATCATTGCTAAATTCCTGAGGAGTTTCTAGGAAAGGAATATAGTGGCCCTCCACTTTCTGCGGAGATGGGAGTGGGGGTGGGGGAAGAGGATTGTGTAGGTAGATAGACCTCCACACTGCTTAATCCCCAACTGACAATCTTCTTATCTTAAATTGTATGGTCTAGTTTAGGTCTAGTTTAAGATAATCACTTACATCACTCAGGTCAATGAAGTGATGTCAACAGAAAGGGGGTGGAGACAGAGTCAGGAGATATAAAGGGAAAAGGCCTTGGACAAAAGGGTGTGTCCCAGAGGCAAGTCTTAATCTTTTGCTTTAGGGACTGCCCAGTAACCACTGAGCTCAATTGTGTGTTGTCTTGAGCCTACATTACTTGTGGTAATAATTGTTAGATCTTGAAATAGGATACTGACATGATAATTTCCTTATTTTTCTAAAACATCACTATCTTGAAACATGCCTATTGATACTTGTCTTCCTAAAGCTTTAGAGTATGTCAGGTGTGTGCAGATTTCATTGTGGTTAATTTTCCTGTCTTCCAGCTTTTATCTAAAACTGCTAGAACACCCAAGGCCAATCAGTGGATGAAGGTCATTTATTCCTATGAATCAGAATATGTTACGTTACTTCTGGCTAGGAATTCCATACACATTTTTTTAAAAGGCCAAATGGGGCAATTTACCAGGAAGAAAGACTCCAAGAATCCAGAGAAAGAGGATGAAAAAGAGAAAGAAAGTAAAAAAAAATCTCAGTGTCCACACAGACTTTTATTTCTGGTGTGTCTAAAATTAAATGTGTGCTCTTGTTCAGTATCACTGGCAATCTCTAATGAGGCCACTGTTATTCTTAAATAAATCTGGTGATGTTTTCCAAATAATTTAAAGCAGAGAGGTTTACAAAGCATTGTGAAACAATTTGAAATAGGTAACCAATACTGTAAATCTAGATTTAAAATCAGATTTTTGGTGGTAGTATGAAGAGAGAGGGCTGCATCAGCAAAATGTTTACTTACTCTCTTTCTTTCATACTGTGTAATTCTGAGAGCTCTTAAACCATGATAAGGAAGCAATTGTGCTTTGAATTCCTCTAAGGATCTAACAAGAGGGCATCCTTTAAGCATTTCTAGGAATTCAGGTTTAAAGATCCAGGTTATTATGACTGAGAAATAAGATTTTACACAGCTGAGGGAAGCAAGTCAAACCTGTGTGTGGGATTTGGCCAAAGAGATGTAGAGCTCCTAGAGGTCAAGAGACATGTTATTTTTCCATCCTTGCAAGCCCCCACAGCCTCAGATCTGTGACCACCATGTATTTATGATACACATGAAATGAAGTGAGTGATGGCAGCTGCGGAGGGACCAATGCAGGGCGGGCCCTGCGCGGCCATCCCAGGCCTGGCTTCCGGGCGGTGTCACTCCTGCCCAGATTATCAGGGCAGTGAGGCGTTGGGCGAGGGCAGGGCTCCTCCCGGCCTCCCCAGTAGAGCGGCTAGAGTCTTCTGAAGCTGCCAGTTGCCAAATGAAACCTGAAACCCTGAGCTGCGTCTGAGGGTTGGCCCCGCTCAGTTGTTACTGCCTCTTGTACTGTATATTTACTCATTCACACACAATCACTCCTAACTTCTGGGACTCTTCTTTGCGCAACTGCTGGGATTTCTTAAGTGCATGTGGCAACTCAGCCCAGCTCCGGGTGGAAACCGGTGGGGCTCCAGAGGGTCTCGGAGGCCCCGGGAGCTGTCAAGGCTGCGGCCGGGACAGCAGAGGATCGAGGCGCAGGCGGCTTAGGGGAAAGCACCACAACTTTCCACCCCAGCTGCAGCTCTTTCGGCCGCCGAGAATTTCCTCCGAAACCACAGCTGCGGAGCAACCAAGTGCATGGGGCGCAGCACTTCCCCACGTTGTGGGAAGTAAAGGAGCCTTCCGACGCTCTTTATCTCTTTTCCTTTGCTTTCTGCTGGTTTGCGAGCCTTTTCCTCCGACCGTCCCGCGTCTGTTGTGCGCTCGGAGCAGGGTAGGTGATACCGCTACGGGGATGTGCGCCGAGGCCACGGCGGGAGGGTGGGATGTGGCTTTGGGGGCTGCGGACACAGCTGCTCGTGACAAAGGAGGGGACTGCTGGGGGCGAGGGGGGATCGCCGGAATCCCGTGCTGGTGCAGTGTGTGAGTCTGAGTGTGTGAGTGCGCGCGTGTGTGTGTGTGTGCGCGCGCGCGTGCGTCTGATGGAAAACAATGCTCCGGTTTCGATTATTTTTAAAAGGATAAGAACGGCGCAAGCTGGCAGTATGTGTTTAAATAGATGAAATTAATTTTAAAAAAATTCTATGTAATTTATGGCCCTCTCTTGCAATCCAGGCCCCCCCACCCCGTTCCTCCCAGCTTGTTTCCATTAGTGTCTTATGTTAGAGTTTTCCTAGATAACAGAGACAGACGTAGGTTTTAATAATAAACACGTTCATAGCAAACACAAAGCATTAGGGAATCTTTGGAGAATTTTAAGCCCCCCAAAAGGGTTTGTCTAGATTTTGAAAACAGTAACTTTTGAGGAAGTATCCTTTCTTGAGGACAAATATGTTAACACATTCTCATTAAAAAAGGATTCTTTAGACTGGTTTCTTTTATAAGTCCCCAAATAGGAGGGGAGATAATGTCACTCTGGATTACTTAGGTTTTCAATACCAACTAGAAGTGAGGAGACCAGTCCCCTTGAAATCTGTTTTAATTCATTTGAATTAAAAGATCACATCCAAATAATGTTTCCATCATACTTTATTCTGCCACTCTTTTTTTAAACCTAATAAGACATAATTATTTTATCTCTTTCTAAAAAGAGGAAGTAAATAAATCATGCTAGGAATTTGAAATATAAAAATTGTAAAGTGTTTGCTTTTCCATAAGTGAAATAATATGTGCTACTGTGTCTACTAAGTAAGACAAATTAATTGGAATCCAGGGATATTTACAGTAAAGTTGAGAAGTTTATTCCGTTACTGAGAAGGTGGTCAGATGAATTAAAAACAGTCAATCCCCTGATTCTCATTAGAATGCAAAACCAACCCTTAGGGGCAAGAATGGATGTTGGAATTAAACTGGACATCTTAAAACATAAAACACACAGATCTACTATATTAGGAAAGGCCAGAAAACAAATATAAAGCCACAGAAGACCTGTTAAAATCTCCCTCTCCCTTTTCAGTTCCTTAATATGTCCTCTTCCCTGGGGGTATTTGAACTTATAAAAGAGCCCAATAATGCACAGCCTGACTTTCAGGTAGCAAATCCAGAAATCTTTTCTCTTTAGAGTCATTGCTGAGTGTCAGAGAATTCACCTGAAACATTTTAGAGAACCTAGATATTAACAAAACTTAATAAATAATATCCTTCTACTTCTCAGAGAAGTTAGGTTCTTGATGGAATATCTTTAAGTGGACAGAAGGGATAGGCTTGAGTTTTTTAGATCTGGAATTTAGTTTGAGGTGTGAGTAAGGAGTACACAAGTAACATTTTAAAAGGTAAGAAAATCTGTAGTTCTTTCTACATGTGAAAGACCGTTGAAACTCAGTCTGCCCTTGGCTTTCAAGTATATTATTTGGTTTTATTACTTAATCTCAGGGGTTTGGATTTGGGAAGGGGATAGCTTCTCAATAATGCTCTTTGGGCTGTAGTAAATATTGTGAATTTGAACCATTTTGAAAAAACAAACATGTGAGTAAGTGGGGAACAATCAAGTTCTCAAGAAAAAACAATTCACTCCTGAACAAATAGTAATGTTTCTTTCTAGACAAGAGCATAGATTTAAGTGCAAAAGCGAAGAGTGTTCTTGGCTGAAATCCCCAGTGAAAGCCTTTTAGTTTTTGGAATAAAAATGGCCAAAGCTCTAAAAATTTTCATCAAGGCAGTTTTATTTACTATGTGATCTTGGAGTCACCAGGTGAAGGGGAGGAGTTGAGGGACGTGGGATGTAGGGCAGGAAGAGTGAGGAATATGCAGCAGGTGGTACTGAGTGGTTTGCTTCTGATTAGTTTGCTGTCTTGGCCAAGAGCCTACTTGATGTTTACTAACAGTGCCCCAAGTCATTTTGCTGTGACCTACTGGCCCACAAAGTGAAGTGTGCTTTTTCTGGCTCTGTTAGTGCCCAGGTTGGTCTCAGGGCTGAAAGCAGTAGATGCTGCTGCGAACTCCTTGCCATACATTTGGTGTCTGTTCTTAGTGGTTGCTATAGGGCCATCTTAGTGAACTGGAATTATTCTTCTGAGGTGTTTTCTGGTCCTTGAAGGGTTCTTTTCCCATGAGTTGAGCTTAAGTAATGCTGATTTTTTCTTTCTGTCATGTTTCAATTTTTGATAAAGGTGTGCTTGGGGAAAACAAGATGGAGGAAGTGGATAGAGTTTCACTTTGGAGCCCAGTAGAAGGGACAAACACCCAGTTGGTTGCACAAGGGTGTGAAGGAGGTTGATGATAAGAACATGAAGCATTCATTCTACACTAAAGAAAAAAAAGCAGAAGAGATTTAAAGTTTTTAAAAATGCCTGTTTGCTCTTAAATTCATGGCTAAAGGATTACAATTTCTCCCCAATAGAGGAAGGTATTTAAAAATAAAATTATAAATAGTCAACTCAGTCATAAAGTTAATACTTTTCAAGTGGAGGGTTGGAGTCTCATAGAGTCTTGCAGTGGTAACTCATCTCTCTTTGCTACAGGAACTCAAATTTTACAAGATTTGATGGTTAAAACCATCCTAACCTTTAGAAGTAGAATGGTTATTGTGATGAAGAGTCAAAGAATGTTCAGTTTTTAGAGGTTATTTTGCACATATGCTTTTAAGTATTATCTTCACTCTACTGTGGCATTGCTACTATTAATCTTTATAAAGTGCAGATCTAATTCTGTAAGTCCTTTGTTCTAAAACTTTTAGGGGATTCCAATGAAGTACATTAACTCTAAACGCTTTAATGTTGTAACTAAAAATTCCTCAAAGTCATTCCTTTTTAACTTTCTCTTCCTACCAAGGGCCCCTCGCTGTTGACACTTTTGATTTCTCACTCACAGATATTCATTCTCCTGGAATTCCCTCTTCCGGGAAAGTCCCTCTTAATTCTTGGTGGTCTGTTTCAAGTGGAACTTCTTTTTGTAAAACTTACCTAGTTCCATGCAGAAAGAATTGATCATTTCATCTTGTCTCTTTCCATGATGTTTTGAACACACTTTGAATAATAATTTTTATGCCTCTCCCTCTCAGGGGGACCCACCTGTATCCTACTGTCCAGTGCAGTGTCTGAAATACATAGTAGACACCTGTTAATTTTTCCTTAATAAATGAACAAAGTCATGAATGAATAAAGCACTAGTGGATTCCACTTTATGAAGACACTTATTTCCCAAAAGTAGATTAAAAAAAAGTCTATTTGGACTCCCAGTTCATTTTCTCAATAGTAACAATGCCACAAACATAATTCATATCTGCATATGCCTATTTAATTACTATAACAGATGAAATACTGTGTTTTGCAGTTAAGCAAAAGCAAAACGTAACGAAAAGCTACTGTGGAATCATCTTTATCTTCTGGAAATCACAAAATATACTTCATCTTAAAGATAATAGAAACAGTTATAATAGATACAAATGTTCCACAATCATTTTTTGTATTATACTATATAATCTGTAATCTATCAAATCCCACTGGGAGGTCCTGGATTTGGCTGTGAGGACTGGTAATGGAGTTAAATTTGGAAATTCTGTTGCCTGTGGAGTGGATAATAATCAAACAAAATAGAAATACAAATTTTGGCTATGTACTAATTACCTTGAGTACTAGTGCTTGAGGCAAACTGGATTTAATTGAAAGGGAATGTGGAGGTGGATGGAGAGGAAAAAATTCAGAGGGGCACCTTCTTTCATGTTATTGATTATTATATTGATGTTCATCTCATCTGAGCACTTAGGCAAATCCAAAGTTTCTTTATTAAAAGAAAAAACTGTCTTTTTCTGCAATTATTTCTACTACCTAACATGTAGAAAGGGGGTTGCACTTAATTTGAGCCAAAATACAAATGATCTCATTTCATTTTCAGAGCAGTGATACCTTTGTCACTTGCATACCTGCTGTTTAGCATGTGAATATTTTTTCAATTAAGAATGCCTAATACTTGTATTTTAAACACTAGTTGGGTATCTTAAACTCAATTTACTCTAATATAGTATCTTTGAGAAGACTGGAAGAACAAGCATTGATATTTAACAGTAAGAGTCTACTCAGTTTCCTAAATCTTTCATGTTCTGTGTTTTTATCAAATTACATGATTATGAATTTACCTACCCTAAACATTACAACACTTTTTTGTTACATTATCTTCATTACACTACGCTTTAAAATAATACTTTTTTTTTTAACATGAAAGTCAATATTAAAGAGATGGGCTTCATGGAAAACATGTTGGCACTTTTTGTTATGTATTTCAATATTCCTTATATAATGATATCCATAAATTTGTCTTTGCTTTTACTGCTTTAAAAAGTGTGTCTCTTCTGATTAACTGGTGTTGTTTCTTTTGTTAAAATAAAAGAGACTTAGAAATCACCAGTTCCTCATTTTTGGCTTGTCATCCAAGAAGCTGAACCAAACTTGATGTTCAGTTGCCCCCTAGTCAAGGTTTTCTGACTTGAGTCCTTTTTGCCTTATTTTAATGCACTTATCACACCTGTATCTTTTGAATAAGTTAGCTCCAATCTTTTATGGAAATCGGTTGAATTACCTTCATTTAGTATTCTTTTAACTCATTTTAGACTTGTGCTTAAATATTTATAAATTGCTATTTTGTAGTTTCAGGCTAGTATTTTAGAGCTAATAATTTTTGCAGATCATTTTGTGTGTGTGTGTGTGTTTTCTTGAAATTTTCTAGTACTGTTTTTGTACTCAGTGATGGATAAATGGGCCTTGCTCCAAATGTTACATTTCTTATAAATCTTAGAAGGAAAATCATGTTTACTTTAAAAGTATTATAAGACCAAATATG